CGGGCTGCCTTAGCATCTCGTGCCTAAAGGAACAGGCCAAGTGGAAGTTAGTGCTGACACTTAACATAACCCCGGGAAGAGAAAAGAATGTGTTCAAGGTGTTCGTCGTCCACTTAACCTTCCGACTTTTCCAGGCTAGTATTTCTGCTGATAGGGATGGCAGCCATTAAATGGTCTGATTTATTTCAAGCAAAAACTTCTCATTTTCTTCTTGTGTAGGAATAGACCTTATCGCAGCTTTTTACGGTTGCCTGTACGCAGGCTGTGTGCCAATTACCGTCCGCCCCCCACACCCACAGAACATAGCGACGACGCTGCCTACCGTGAAGATGATTGTGGAGGTAACACCGCCTGGCGTGTCTGAGCGCTTCCTCCTGCCCTGGACCTGAGTGTCAAACTCTACACCAGAGCTGGGCCTTCGGGGGAGGGGCTGGCTGTGGGATTATGTGGGAGTCTTCAACCCAAGTGCTGGGGCAGCATGGGGCCTCTGCCCTCAGGGAGCTACCATCGAGTGCTGAAGCAAGAGCCCAACTTTGCATGGAATTAGGGACTAGAGGACAGCCCTGCCTCGATACCTAGAGAGAGCAGCCCCCCAGAGAGGGCGTCCCTACAGGCACTGCCCCAGCAAACCAGATCCAGTGAAAAACTCACCCATTTTTTATAGTTCTTTTGTCGTAGTTTATAAATGTCCTATTTGAAAGCATAGATTTATTTTAATTTTTTTGTGTCGGGGGGAGTTTAAGAGGACCAGGAAAGCTTTTTCCCTTTGGAGGAGGAACCACAGGGGACGTTAGTTTGGGGACCCCACAAGTACTTTTTTGTCATGATGTTGGAGTATTTTCATGGTCATTATTCCTGTTAGAAAATATGGGGGTTTTGTGGACATATGTGGCATTTCCAGTAGAAGGGCTAATGGTGTCAATAGTGAGATTAGAAGCTCCTTTCTGAGTCCAATCTTAACACTGGATCCAATCAGCTATGGACATTTTCAGGGACCTCAGTGCCCTCGAGCTCTGCGTGGCGCTTGTGGTCCGACACCTGGCTCTCTTGTACCTCTGCTGGCCAGCGCTAGCTCCTCACAAGGAGCCGTGTCCCTGGTAGTGCACCCTACTCTGAAAGCCACATGGCCTCAACACACAGCGCACACACGTGTGCAGTGAGGGCTCCCCTGCGGTTTACCTTCCTTCATCCATTCTGTTCTCTGACTCTCAGGTGAGTCGCTCGGCCTGTTTAATGACAACACAACTGATCTGTAAATTGTTACGGTCCAGGGAGGCAGCTGCGGCCGTCGATGTCAGGGCGTGGCCCCCCATACTGGACACAGGTCAGTCCTCGAGCTCGCTAGGCACAGTTCCTTCTCTGCTCTCCCATTAGGTCAGCTGTGCTAATAGCTTCGCTTTGCTCTCCAGATGATTTGCCAAAGAAGCGGCCGGCCCAGATCTACAAACCCTCCAACCCGGACACGCTGGCTTACCTGGATTTCAGTGTGTCCACGACTGGAATGCTAGCTGGAGTGAAGGTGAGGGTGCGGTCTGCCCAGTGTGCAGTCAGCCCACGCAGTGATGGCCATTTGTGTTCTGCGTGAAACGGAATGAGGTGTAGACATGTGTTTCATTCAAGCTATAAAATGTGTGGACACTTCAGTAGTAACCTAAGCTGACTGCTTCTTTCCAAATGTTCCGACTTTTTTAAAAAATGTAAACACAGCCTGACTCATCCCTACTGAAAAACTGCATAGGTTTTTCTTCCCTCCTGCTTCTCAAATCCAAACATTCTTTCTGTGGTAAAACTGCATGAGAGCTTCTTGCTCTTTAAGGGATCCCTTATCACTCGCCAGAGGACTGCTCCGTGCAGCTGCAGAGACCCCTTTGCCTACGTCGTGCCCTCTGACGTACGCCCTTAGCGAGGAGCTGTTAACTTCCCTGTAGCCTCAGGAAGCCCTTCCCCTCTTACCTCCCTCTGGGGTCTGACTGCTGAGTTTGCATAATTTAAAAGTGGGCATCTTAATAGGTGAGGTTATATCTCATTATATTTTTGATTTGTATTTTCCTAATGATTAGTGACAGTGAGCATCTTTTCATGCAATTATTGGCCATTTGTGTATCTTCTTTGCAGAGATGTCTATTCAAGTCCTTTGCCCATTTAAACAAGTTTTTTTTTTTGTTGAGTTTTAGAAGTTCTCTATATGTTTTGGATATTAATCCTATATGAGATTTAAAATTTTTTTCTCCTGTTCTTTGGGTTGACTTTTTTTTTTACTCTGTAGACAGTGTCTTTTGATGCACAAAATTTTAAATTTTTGTTGAGTTCAACGTTGTCTATTTTTTTGTTGTTGGTGGTGTTCGTGTCTTTCGTGTCATATCAAAGAAAACATTGCCAAATCCAATGTCAGAAAGATTTTGTCCCATTCTTTTGTCTAGGATTTTTATTGTTTTACATTTATGTCTGTGATCCATTTTGTGTTAATTTTGTATCCAGTGATAGGTAAGAATCCAGCTTTATTCTTTTACATGTAGATATCCAGTTGTCCCAGAACCATTTGTTAAAGAAACTGTCCTTTACCCAATGAGTGTGGTCTTGGCACACTTGTGGAAATTGTTTGACCATATATAAAAGGGTCTGTTTGGGGGCTATTTTATTCCATTGTTTTAAGTGTCTGTCTTTATGCCAGTACCACACTGTTTTGATTATTGTAGCTTTGTAGTAAGTTTTGAAATCAGGAAGTATGGAACCTCCAGCTTTGTTCTTTTTCCAGAATGTTTTGGCTATTCATGTTTTACTGAGATTCTATATGAATTTTACAATGAGCTTTTTTTTTATTTCTGCAAAAAAATCATTTTTTATAGAAATTGCACTGAATCAGTATTGTTTTGAGGAAGTACTGGGTAGTATCTGTGACTATAGGATATGTTTCCATTTATTTATGTCTTCTTTAATTTATTTCAGGAATGGTCTATAGTGTGCATTGTATAAGTCTTTCACCTCATTGATTAAGTTAATTCCTAAGTATTTTATTCTTTATGCTATTGTAATGAGAACTGTTTTAATTAACTTTTCAGATTTTTCATTTAGTGTATAGAAATGCAACTGACTTTTGCATGTTGACTTTTTTCCTGGTAATTTGCTGAATTCATTTATTATTTGTAGCAATTATTTTGTGACACCTTTAGGGCTTTTTCCATATAAGATCATATCATCTATGAACAGAGATATTTTTATTTCTTCCTTTCCAATTTGGATGCCTTTTATTTATTTTTTTCTTACCTAATTGCTCTGGCTGAAACTTCCAGTACTATGTTAAATGGAAAGGGTAAAGGCAGGCATCCTTGTCTTGTTTCTTATCTTAGAGGAAAAGTTCAGTTTTTCACAGTTGAGTATGATATTTGCTGTGGGTTTTCATATATTGTGTTTATTGTAGTGAGGTACTTTCCTTCTATTCCTAGTCTATTGAGTGTTTTTATCATGAAAGGATGTTAAAATTTTTCAGATACTTTCCTGCATCAAATGAGATGATCATGTATTGTTTTTCCCTTCATACTCTTAATATGAAGTATTGCATTCATTGGCTGTCATATGTTGAGCCATCCTTGCATTCTAGGAATAAGCCCACCTGGTTATAATGTATAAGCATTTTATTGTGCTGCTGAATTCCATTTTCTATGCTCAATTATATGTTGAGGTTTATATTCCAGTGTTCATAAGGCATATTGATCTATAGTTTTCTTGTAGTCTCTTTGTCTGGTTTTGGTACCAGAGTAAAGCTAACCTCATAGAATGAGTTAGGAAATGTTCCCTTCTCTTCAGTGTTTTTGGAAAAGTTTGGAAAGGATTTGTATTAGTTTTTCTTTAATTTTTGGTAGGATCACCAATGAAGCCATCAGGTACAGGGCTTTTCTTTGTTGGAATTTCTTTTTTTCTGATTTGATCTTTTTACAAGTTAGAGGTTCATTCAGATTTCACATTACTTGTGATTTAGTCTTGGTAAGTTTTGTGTTCCTTCCTTTAAAAAAAAATGTTTTGTTGTTTCAGAGAGAGGAAAGGAGAGAGATAGAAACATTGATTGGCTGCCTCCTACACGCCCCCTATTGGGGGTCGAGCCTGCAACCTGAACATGGAATTGAGATAATGCTGGCCTCTTGATTTTTTTTTGGAATAGTTTGAGAAGGATAGGTGTTAGTTCTTCTTTGAATGTTTGGTAAAATTCACCTGTGAAGCCATCCCAGTTCATAACTTTTGTTTGTTGTGAGGTTTTTTTAATTACTGCTTAAATTTCACTAGCTGTAATTAGTTTATTCAGAATCTCTGATTCTTCCTGATTCAGTTTTGGAAGATTGTATGTTTCTAGGAATTTGTCCATTTTGCCCAGGTTGTCCAATTTGTTTATGAATTTCCCTCTCAACACTGCTTTTGCTGTGACCCATAGATTTTGAGTTGTTGTGTTCTCATTTTCATTAGTTTTAAGGTATCTTTTGATTTCTTCCTTGATCTCATTGTTGACCCATTCATTGTTTAGTAACATGTTATTTACCCTCCATGTCTTTATGTTTTGGTATTGTACTGTGGTATTGTGTTAAGTCCTCTATTTCTTTACTTACCTTATGTCTAGTTGGTCTGTCCATTATTGATAGTGGTGTATTGAAGTCTCTTATTATTGTAGAGTTACCTATTTCTCCCTTCAGTTCTGTCCATTTTTGTTTTATATACTTTGATAGTTTCTTACCAGGTATATAGATGTTTATAATTGTTACTAGAGGCCCGGTGCACAAAAATTTGTGCACTGGGGGGGGGGGGGGGTCCCTCAGCCCGGCCTGTGCCCTCTCGCAGTCTGGGACCCCTCAGGGGATGACCACCTGCTGGCTTAGGCCCGCTCCCCGGGGGATTGGGCCTAAGATGGCAATCAGACATCCCTCTGGCAGCCCGGCAGCCCTTGGGGGATGTCAACTTGCCAGCGGGGAGCAGGCCTAAACTGCAGTCGGACATCCTTAGCGCTGCTGAGGAGGCAGGAGAGGCTCCCACCACCACCGCTGTACTGGCAGCCATCAGCCTGGCTTGTGGCTGAGCAGAGCTCCTCCCATGTGAGAGCACCCTGACCACCAGAGGGCAGCTCCTGCATTGAGCGTCTGCCCCCTGGTGGTCAGTGTGTGTCATAGTGACCAGTCATTCCCCAGTCTTTCTGCTGTTAGGGTCAGTTTGCATATTACCCTTTTATTATATGGGATAGAGGCCTGGTGCATGGGTGGGGTCTGGCTGGTTTGCCCTGAAGGGTGTCCCGGATCAGGGTGGGGGTCCCGCTTGGGTGCCTGGCCAGCCTGAATGACGGGCTGATGGCTGTTTGAAGCTGGTCACACCCCCTTCAGGGTGGGGGTCCCCACTGGGGTGCCTGGCCAGTCTGGCTGAGGGGCTGAGGGCCGTTTTCAGGCTGGCGGGCGACTGAAGCTCCCAACCTCTCTTTTTTTCTTTCTTTTTAATTCTGCGATTTATATTCCTTCTATGGCTGTCACTGGAGCTGAGAGCCGGCTTTAGCTTGAGGCTCAGCTCCAGCTCTGAGACCTTGGCTGCTGAAAGCAGGGATCTGGGTTTGTTTACCTTCTGTATTTGAAACTTTGTTGCGACTCCAGCTCTGAGATCCCGGCTGACTGAAAGCAGGTTTCTGGGGTTTTGTTTAGCTTCTATATTTGCAACATAGTTTCTTAGTGTGCAGCTGAGAGGCCGCAAGGCAGGCGGGGAAC